AGAATAAATGCTACATCCCTGATGTAAATGCCTACTATAAATGCCCTTGCTTTGCATATATGTGATAAAGCAAAGTCAGCAAAGTAAAACTACAAGCAAGAAGTTAAATTCGAAATGAAATCATATCATACAATTATTTACTCATGGTGAATTGACCATTGATAAAAGAGGCCTTAACATTACAATACACCACTTGTTCACTTAACACCATTTCCATCTTAGCACCAGGTTTTTGCCTTTGAGCTTTGATTTTTTTCTGATTTCTCAAGTCATTTTCTCTAGTTAGTACTTGCTCTGTCTTGACTCGACCTCATAGTGATCTTAGTCAAACTGAGAGCTTTAAGATACCCAGTATAGAGTATCTAAAATGCCTGCTCCATTTCACCTTCCATCCCTTGCATACCTTTTTGTTGAATCATTTGACAAAGTCTTCGCTCTTATGACTAATATGTTCATCCAGGTCAGATCTACAAGAATGGACCCCACAAATAAAAAGGGAGATTCAGGCAGTAGCATAGGAATGAAAAGTCTGTGGTTAGTATTTAAATTCCTTACAGATGTCTCTTTTTCTAGTGTATCCATATGTGTGTCTTATGACTTCCTCTCTCAGAAGACAAAAAGCCAGCCTGGTTGCCCTAGAGACAGCTGAGGTATAGTGTCAACTAAAATGGAACAAGCTAGAGGGAACTTACAGGAAAAACACACTTAATAAAAGAGTTCATTGCCAATAACCCACCCAGTATAAACATATGCTGGCAACTGAAGATGCAATTGTCTTTACAACATAACCTATTTTTAACCTGAAGCCCTCTTTTTTTAAACTGTGTAGCTGCATTGCTGAAAGATGGATCATCTGTGAAGATGTGCTAAGTACCTGCTGAAACATGTTTTTACTTGACGTAGTGGTCACTATTGTGTAAAACAAGCTAAGTATTGATTTGTAAATAAAGCCTGAAAATGTATCAGTGGGAGGTGTATTTGGTTCTGTGAACTGCTGGGAAAAGTTTCTGTAAGCATATGACAGAAAACAAGAAAATTTAAAAAATTCTAAAGTACTATTGCAATCAAGTATTACAAGAATAACACTCAAGTGTACTAAAAATGAAATCAAGAAGCAGCAAAAAATCCAGACCAAAATATTAAAACAGCAATACAATAATGAATCAAAACTGAGTGGATCCTTATGAAACACTAAACTCATAAATATAAGGAATACAGCTTTATTCCCAAGACCTTGAGTAAATTCCCTAAGGGATGCTATTTACCAAATTATTTATTCTTTAGAATAAATATATCAAGACGCTCAGTCCTTTTCTAGTTGTTTGCCCACCAAGCGTTTTCAGAGAACTGACCTAAGGCATCTCTCTTCCAGACACTTATTAATTAGGAGTAAAAAATCCCCATAGGACTAAAAAAAAAGAAAAGGTGTATCTCAAGTAAGAAGAAAATGTGACAGAGAAAAATGTTAAACTACTGTAAGATAATTTGACCAGCTTTCAGGAAGACTCACAGCTGAGGGAGAAGCTACAGATTTTGCCATTTGCTCAAAAGATTCTGCCTTGCCAAACTCATCTGGGTTGCAACTAAGTCAGATGGCCTTTGTCCATGGCTTGTAATCAGCCAAATGTAAAGGAAGGCAACAGTTCCAGCTGAAGAAGAAATAAAGCAAAACAAACTGTAGAAATACAAATGACAGCCTACAGTAGTATCAGCCCACATCCACCCATAGATCTGCTCCAGTAATTGAAAATATTTTTTAGAAGTGGATAAATATAAACTAAAAACCCCAATGAAACAAATTATATTTGTTATTCTGAATATTTCAGAGGTTAAGTCTTTTGAAATGGAAAACGTAACTGCCTATAAATCAACTTCTGTGATGTCTTAAAGAAGAATGGATGGAACTATAGTCTTTCCTTCTATACCAAAATTACAGTGAGAGCTGTTTCTGGCTAGTAAGATTGACATACAGGAAAACACCTTCCAGCTCTAAAAATGCTGACTGAGAGGAGAGGAACGAGGAGGAGAAATGTATTCTAATCTAATCTTAATTCAAGATGTAACATTTCAATGTGGTTTTTGTTATAACTTTTTTCCCCTTTTCTTCCTTTATTTTTAGTCTTAGTTGACACCTAAGTTGGAAATGGACATTTCAAAATAAAAAAACCTACTGTTTTAATCCAAGAATAAATGAAAAGAAACATATGCATTTTGTCTTTTACTCCCCTTCTTTAAAACTGTCACATAATTTACTTAAAATTCTCCCAACACAAAGTTAAAGAGCAACCCTTTTTAGATAGTTCTACATATTAGACATTATAGCTCTTCTTTCAGATGCCATAAGGAGACAGGAAAAGGACTGCTACAAATTAAATCCCATTGGAAATTTAAATAGATTTAATTCTGTTATAAATATTTAACTATTTTTGCCAATAAATAAAGTCTAGTAATTAAGGAACATCTGATATTAACCAGCAACTACCTGGACTTATTTAAGGACATTTATTGTTTAATTTTCCCCTCAAGAAAATATCTATACTTGGTGGAAAGAATGGGCCCAGATATTTTTCCTCATTTTTCCACATCCACATAAAGGATGAAAGCTGATTAATATTTGGTAACGCCCATTTTTATAAAGAGGATTTAGAATATTCAACAATCAAGGAATTGTTTTGCTGTTTCCTTCTACCCTGATAAGCTATCACAGTATTCATTTCAGGTGATACCTGCATACTTATCTGTCAAGCAGACTCAGACATATTGTCATTTTAAAAATTATTGGAATACTAAAAAAAAAGTGGAAATGCATCTTTGATTCATACTCCTGCTGCTGAAAATGGAGGAAGAATACTTCTGAAAGTATTGCAGATCACTTTTCATTAATTCTAATCCCACAAAAATCAGTGGATTTTTTTTCACACATTTCAATTCCTTGCTGATTTGCAAGCTTGCTATTTTGCAAGCTCGCTATTATGCAAGCTCAGATTTGCATTCCTAAGTACATCTGATATTTCAGCTGTAAAAAAAAAAAGCTTTTTTCTGCAATTCAGAAGGAAGTAACATGATGAAAAAAACAAACCATTATTTGAAAAAGTTTTTTGCTTAAAAGATTTTAAAATTGAAATATAGTTTTATGGTCCATAAAACCTTTTTTTATCACAATTTTTCTTGATTTTTAGCTTAGACTATACCCCTGCTTCTGATGTGTGCCTGACCACACAGCGTCTCCCTGGCAGCCTTGCCTGTTTATCTACTGAGCATCATTTGCTTTATCTCTTCTTCAAATGAGCTTCAGCACCAGACTCCCAAACAAGCCAAACGGAATCTCTCCATTCCACATGGAGATATCAACAACATTGACATTCCAGGCTGGAGTTGGGTAGAATGTCTTCAGTGCCATAATAAGCACCAGTAATGGAAAGCACCACTTTGTACTTTCCTTAAGTGTAAATATCTGCTCCTGGGTGTGCTGTGAAAAGGTCAACAGAAGTTCACTTCTTTCTACTGTTAAATGCAGTATACAACAAGAGACTGTCCCAAGTGTTATTACCACTGATACACATCTATTTAAGTAGAAGGCACATTACACTCTGCAAGATCAAGATCTTCGTGGAAAATTCCCAGTCAGGCGTGATGTATTTAGCACGTTCCCGTAACTGTACACATCTAGTCAATCCATTGCAAACATCCAGGTGAAAAAAAGTCTGAATTTACCAACCTGGGCTTGCAATTGACAGAGGAACAGCACGCCCATTTCCTTTCTTATTTACTTATTTTTGAAGCACTAAACACCCCACCCTCCAATTCCCAGAAAAAGAATTTGACAATAGACTTTCAAACTCCATAGAAGTTTTACAGATATATAGAGCCAGCAGTGTGCATTTATCATTACCTATAATATCTCAAATTATTTATAGATAAAGCTGGTGAACACCCTAATGAGGATTCAGCAGCACAATTCAAATGTCACAATAGCCAGTGAAAGCTGCCAAGTTCCAATACTGTATTCCAGAGCCAAGATTATTCTAAAATTATTTTCCATTATAGTGCAAGCTAATTAGACAGATATATTACATATATCCAATTTCAATGTAAAAATTTGTACATTTCCTGAACCTGAAGCTTTTAAATGGCTTGAGTATTTGAATCATGTCAGTGTATACAAACTCATAATTTCTTTTCTATTATCATTCAGATGCCCCTCTGTGGGTTTGATCCCCATAAAGGCCATTCATTTCTGAGCTGGATTCAAGGATCCTGCAGGGTCCCTTGTAACTCAGAATATTCTATAACTTCTGTAATTAATAACAGGTTTTGTCTATTAAATAATTTTTTAATCATCTCTGTTGAGAATTTTTCTGAGACAACACACATTTCAGCATTGTATTGTTTTGTAATTATTATAATGTTATTATCAAAGAAAGAACATTAGTTTTATAGAATAGGTGGTGCTCAATTTACTTTTCTTGCTCAGCCATGAGGATATACATAAAAAGAGTAAGCAGAGCTTTTGTCAATCAGAACTGATTTTCTTGTCTCTGATTAGAGGTTTCATAAAATAATAACAGGACATAAGTATTCCTTTTTGTTCAGACCCAAGAAAGAAGAAAAAATGCTGACTGACCATGTGTATCAAAAATAGCTCGCATTTGGAAGTTTTGCTTTGACACCGTTGATATGGAGATATGTGTGTACATGTGTTCGAGACGTGAGGAGGAAAACCAGCCCTTCAGTTTTAGCCTGACATCTCCTCAAACCCTGAAAGACATCCATGCCAAAAGTCTTTTAACAGTGCATCTGGAAGTGAGCAGGAAGTAGCAGCCCACTGGACCTCCACCTATTACTTGTTTGACAGCCGTGGGGTAATGTATGAGCAAGCAGACAATGGGCAAACATGAAGGGGTCATCCTTAATGCAGATAAATGAAATCTGATAAAACACGGGATTTTACGAGGCTGCTAATGAAAGCTCTCAGGAAGCAATGGAAGGAAGACACTCACTGTACAGTGTTCTTTCTCTACTTCAAAATGTCTTGCAACAGGACTTGAAATTTTAGATCAAACAATTTGCAGGTGAACTCCCTTCAGCCACTGAGGACAAGAGAATATGACGTCCCGTTTCCTCCTACTTCTACAAGTAAAACCCACAGCTCAGTTCCTGAGGGCAGAGGTCTAGAGGGATACAAAGGAAATGAAAGGAGATCTCAGCCAATTTAGGTACTAAGTCTTAGTTTTCTGTAGAATTATACTTAATACTATCAGTTAACCAGTGCAGTGTTCTCTGGAACTGTCTCATTCAGAAACACACACTTAAAAAATCCAATCAGAACTTTCCCCTGCTCCAGCCCCCACAATGACACACAAATTGCCCAACCAAACAAAAACCAAAGAACCCATCCAAAACCAACCAACAAGCCCAAATCCCACAAAAATCTTACTTTCTCACTGTTTCAGAAGCCATCATGTTACCACATTAGCTTGTCTAACTTCGGCGACAAGTGATTTTAAGCAGCTGCTCCAGTATTGCTCAGTGGGAAAAAGGCAACAAAAAATTGTCAGGAAAAATATAAACTGCTCAATAAATAAATAAATGAAGGGCATTTAGTTATCTGCATACATATTAATCAAAGAATAATTGGCATGTGAGGAGACTTCTATGTATTTCAAGAAAAGATCATAAGCCAGTCAAGTGTAGACAATAATTTCCAATGATACAAATGTGTTCTACAGCAACAGTATTTTTTTTAATGAAAATAATACTGTATAGAAGATAAAAAAAAAAATTAAAAACCTCCAAATAGTGTAAAATGTGACTAAGAATTTGTCTATCTAAAAATCACAGATACCAGCATAGAGCTTTATGTATATTTCAGATGGGTTAAAAAATATTGTAAAATACACAGACTACACATAAAGAAATATTTACACATATGTTGAAGTACATATAGTAATATGTACTATACATACATTTCTTGCATGCACATACTTACCTAAGTACATTCACTTCAATTAATTTTGATTATTTTAATAGCACATTTGATTTGCTTTGACATTTGTAAAACCAAAGTAACTACAGAAATCAAGCATTACCAACTACTTCAGTATATTGAAGGTCTTACAGTGAAAGACCCTAATGAAATAAAGGAGACCAAGGTGAATCTGAGTTGAAATGAGAAATTAGTTACTGTAGTAAATGTCTCATTCTTGGTGTCCTGGTTTAGAACAAATCTGGGAGAAAAATACTATATTTTCTATGAAAACCTACAAGATGAGAAAATGCTAACAGAAAAAGTAGATAATTTTCTGTTTTAACACCATGTAAATATACATAAGAGACTAAGTACACAGTACTATATGTTGGACATAAATATTTTATATAGTGTATGTATAGCAGAGCAATTTCAGAAAGGGCACAAGAACAAGGTAGAGAGAAAGTGTTGGTAAGCGCCTGCTAATTAATAAAAAGCCCAACTTCTTTGGAGCAAAATTAATTTAGGAAGATTATAATGCACCAATCTGAGCTCACAACTTCATTTCTGTTCAACAAACAAGTGAAGTCTAAATCAACATTTAGGCAACATTACGTATAAGTATTTTGGTCCTATGCAATTTCCAGATTTTTCTTCCCCAAAATTAATTATTTTTCTTGTAATCTAGTATTTCATAATTATTTTATTGGTATGCTTTTATTTTCATTTATATATAATTGACTACTGTTCTTTGTTGACCTAGAAAGACAACAAATTACATGCCACTTTGGAGCTATAACTTATTAAATATTTATTTTCTCTAAAAAAATGCTGAGGACTGAGTTTTATTGTAATATGACATAGCCTTGCAAGCATGCATGCACTCTTTTAGAGTGATTGATTTTCCTGTACACTCATATTTGATTATAGTCAAGTTTTAGCTTTCATCTATTAGTCTCTGCCTGACCTGGTATTAGAAGATGCAGATGGTTTTGATTAAATGATTACTTAAAAAATAAACCTGATTTAGACTGAAACTTTATAGAAACGTATTGCTTTCATATTTTACATAATAAATTCAGCCTTGATAAATGCCAACTCACACCTGTTTGTAAAGCAGGAAGATAAAGACAAAAATATATATGTCTTATACAAAGCACTAGGGGTAGGGTTTTGTGTGAGGGCATCTCTTTTTTTTTTTACAAATCTAACATTTCTATGAAAATTAATAGTTTTTCTCACAAAGATTATAATTTTAAAAAAATCTTAATTTTTAACTTAAAATAAGTTTGAGCAAAAAAAATCAGAGTTAAAAAAATTTTCATATGATTAATATATGAAAACATCTGGAAGGACACATCAAACATAATTTATACTTCTGCCAACGCTATATTTTTGCTTCTTCTTTACCAAAATAAGTGACTGAGCAAGAAAGTCTCTCTTCTACAGAAAGCCACAAGACAAACCCACAGAAATTGGCACTACCAACTGGCAAGTACCAGTGCTGTTCTCGAATAATATCAGATTTCTCTATTACAAATATAAGCCACAAAATTATTCAAATTGCTGATGGAAACAGACTGATGAACTTGACCTGTCTCTCAGCTGCTGCCACTATTACTTTGCTGCTGGTGGCATGACTAAAACAGAATGCAATTCTATAAAGTGATTCTTTAGTAATTTTCAGTTTACTCATGACTTCAGCAACATTGCTAGAGGTGAGATTGGGTAAGGGACAACATGGAAAAAAAGTAAAATTAAAAAAATAAAGAGGAAAAATCCCCCAACGTATTAGATCAAGAAAAAGAGTTCAGTGCAAAGGAGAATGAGAGGAAACACCAATGCTAATGGATTGAGACAAAACATCTCCAAAAGATAACTCTCAGTGAAAGCCCTTTGACAAGTTCAGTTCATAATATTATTCTTAAGCACTGGTAAGGATCTCAATATTGAGTCCAAATAAAATAAAAGCAAGATATCTAAACAGATACCTAAGCTACCATGGAAGCGGTGTTTGATTGCTGTTGTAGGTGACAAGTCATGCATGTATGAAAAACCTGCATAAAAAATTGTTGTTTAAAATTGTCTTCACAAGTTTGCCTTAAAAGCTGTGTCTGACCAATATTCACTCACTGCTTCACTGCTTTTGGAAAGAAAAATTCTTTCTGTGTTCTGAGAATGCAGCCTATTAACATTTATCTTCATGTATCTTTTCAGGGCTACTCAGACATTTCTTTAGTTTTAATTGGCTAACTAGCTCAGGTAATTTATCTTCTTATTTTGAAAGGCCACTCGGATAAGAAAATAAATAGTTAAATTACTGTTAATTCGTTCTGCTATTAACATAGAATTATATTTTTCCATTTTGGAAACTTCAACCCCACATTTATTGGTTTTGGGGCTCCTGCATTCAGGATCATTCATCTCTATCTCAGTTTATGAGCAATTCTCTATTCGGCTCTGGTCCGTTCACAATTTACACTGCTCTCTCCTAAATGAAGGTACTGGATGCAGCTGGGCAGCAGAAGGCAAGGCCATTACAAGACAGCACTACCACTCAGATATTACTAATCGCTGTAGAAAGGACACCTAGAGTAACAAATAATTATTCATGCATGAAGGCATTGCTCTCTATTGGAACAAGTTTGCTTTATGGCTGTGGCGCTGCCAACTACACAGTGTCCAGGAAACAGGACACAGATTCTGAGTGTCTCTATGCTGATATGGGGAGTGGTGAGATCCTAAACTCCACAGGGATTTCTGAGCACTTTTGCCATTCTCTGCACTGCACTACATAATCGAGAGGAAGCTCCAGGTAATTCCAGCCAGCTTTCTCCTCTGTGACCATAGAAACCAAGGAGTAATTCTTGACCTTCTATCCCATAAATAAGGGTTTAATGTCATTAGCACCCATCAGGTATGCTGGAAGTCTATTTGAGTTGGGCTCACAAAAAGAGTAGCACAGCTATAATGCATGTTTTGGAGCAGATAGCCAAGACTTACAGATTTCTGTATGCAGTTAGGACCAATTAGATCAAGAGTTGAAAAAAAACCAAAAAAAAACAGAGAAAAACTTTTTCATTTCATCATGATTCAAATCGCTACATTTAAGAAAAAAATCTATATACATGAATTCAGATACTCCTCTTCAATCTAGGTAGGCCTTTACAATACAGACACACTATAGGATTTTAGACTACATAAAGAGTACCAACATCTTAGGTGGTTGTATGCCCAAGGGAAAAAAAGTGCATACAAAATGTTGATTAGGGCTCATAATTATAGAGGAAAAAATTATGATGATTGGGATATCCTGCCTCCACCCTATCACGTAACTCTGCTTGCCTACCTAAACAAATAAAGCGTTGTATGATTTACAGTTCTCAATGCTAATTAGCCTTCTCTTCATGTGTCCTTTGAAACTCTAAAAACTGTTTTAAAACATTTTAAAATTCATTATTGTTTGATTCTCTAGAGATACAGAGTGAAACAACACTGTGTGAACTTTGGAAGTAGGAAAATGTGTCAGTGATTTAAAATGCTATATCAGCCAGAAACTTGTTGAATATTCAAATACTCTTGCAAGAGTATAGACAAATGTTTCATATAAACTGTGTTAAAAAGTTTACAAGTGACATCTCATCTAGTCAAAATACAATGAAAATCATTAGTATGGGTGTGTGTGAGAGAGATAGGGAATTATAAAAATGCAGTTCTTAAATAAATTATATTTTAATTGATGTGATTTTGGCAATACTCACTATGCTTATGACATCGCAAACTTTTTAATTGGTCTGATTTAAGATCATGTTCATAGACTGTCTGGGTTGTGAGGAGAGGAAAAAAACAATTACTTTATGATGAAGCTTTAGGGATAAGTGTTGATAAAAAAGCTTCACTGCAGCTGAGTCATTTGGGTTTCTGGCTTTATTACCAACTGACCCAAGAGCCAGAATATTCATGGTGATTTTTAGGAACAGGCTGAAGAGGCAGGGTTTTTGCTTCACGTTATGCTTCAAAAGTTTCTCAGAATTGTTTTCTTGGTAACTAGTGACAACACAGGCAGGAACATGAGTCCACCAAAATATCACCTTTTCTATTTTTTAATGGTGAGTTGGTAGTAAATTCTTTGTAAAACAGCATTTAGCTTCTCCCCAGGATGAATAAAGTCATCACATATTCTTGCAGAATAGTGAAAGAAATTCCTCAGAAAACTCATTTAATGTTCACTTTATTAAACAGATTCCTGTCCCTTACAAAAAGCAGCAATTTGAAAAGTTTAAGACCAGGAGCAAATCAAATCAATTGAACAATTTAACCCTGGCTAGAGATTTTACTGCTCTCTTTACAGTTATTTTGGTCATTTGCCATACAGGTTCAAGGTATAGAGAAGATTTAATAGATCTAACTCTCCCCAGCATCAAATTTATACTATTCAGTATCATGGTTTCCAAAGTACTGTTTGAATATAAATGAAAGTAAGGGAATTTTCATCATCTACTCAAGTGCAAGATGTTAACACATTTCAGTAGTAGGCAGAAAAACATCAGTGACAGATATTGGGAGTATCTTGATGTCCTGACAAAAAAAAAAATATCTTTCAAATAGCATTTCTTAGCCTGAATAGCAGCTTATTTCACACAGAAGTGATAATAGTTCTCAGATGCAGAAGATATAAATCTTTATCTTTCCAAGCTCCAGTTCAATTTCAGGCTGTCAAAAACCACCCAGCTGTAATTGCTACAATGATTTTACATTACATAATTATTGAATTCCTGAAATAATCTCCTGTGAGCCTAAATACTTTTAATCCAGTAACATCCCAGCTCAATTTTGGCAATTTAACTTGCTATTCCAGGGTTGCTAAATTTAGATCCAGTTTCTGAAATTTCAAATCAGATCCTTATATTTATCACTTAATAGAAACTGTGCTTTGAACATTCTAGGGCTTTTTTTTTTGAAAAGGAAAACTGTCCTAGAAATCCACCCAGCTTCAACAATGAAAAATGATAGAAAATTAATCTTTCTGTGCCTCAAAACACATCTGTCACTGTTATGTTTTTGAAGAGGATAGCAGTGTCTTTCTGGGTATGATGTCTCTAACATCATTATATATGCTTGTGAAATTTTCAGAGAGCAATAGAGCATCATGTAAATTGATTTTTTACTACTACACTAATAAGATTTTTGACCTGTTATCTAACTGTGAAAAAGCTAACTGGCTGAATATCAAAAGTACCTAGTACTTCATATCTTGCAAAGCCATCTGATTACAATCATCTTGTGCATAAACCAAAACTAATTACTGGATTGAAAATTTAAGGAAACAACTACTGAAGAGTGGTTAAGTAGAAATAAGACTCAGCACTTCCTGTGTTTTTATCTTTATGTCTATCCAAGTCATCATTTAGGCAGGACTCTGCCAAAGCATTTAACAGTGCAAGTACATCCTAATCAGAGACATCATGTGAATGAAACATTAAAAGAGATTAAAATTATTTAATCACTAAAATAAGAGTTTCTGTCCAATAGAGGAATGTACATATTTCATGTCTGGTGATTTGATTATCTTTACTATCTTTCTGGCCTTAATTGAAAAATTTGTCATCTCAGTATCAGATGAAATAAATCTGAAGGAGAATAGACATCCTCTTTAACTTAGTTTGTTTTGGCATAGTATTCAATAAAAGACTTTCATTTAAGTATCACGTGATTTGATAAAACAAGTTGCAATTACTGCACAAAATATGCCATCATATTCACACATTAAATCCAGGCAATAATCTTTGCTTTTCATATATGCACAGACTCTCTTCATCCTCTGTGAATTTGCTTCCTAATAATTTATTTATTAATGAAAGTAAAACTACTATAGAAGTCACAGTTTCTGAAAACCTCTAATTTAGCATATATTAGGCATTCTATTGTACAAAAAGCAAGAAGAGGATTTTAGTTCAGACTATTTCTAGAGGCTAAAACAAAAGCTAATTGAAGAAAAATTGCATTTTAAAATGTTATAATATAGTTAGCTAATAATTAAAAAAAATACCTGTTTCAAAAAACAGTACAAAAACCATTTAATTTAGATATAATCTAGGACATCTAATAAAATAAATATTTGAAGATCAAGGGCTTAACATGTCTGTGACAAATAGAGAGCAACCTACAAAAACAAGTGTCAGTGACGCAGTTTTCTGAAACTTTAGTAATAAAACAATTTCAAAATGAATTTATGGAAATTTTTACTACAAAGAACACAAGAAATACCTGTCTATCTCTCTGCTGATGGAAAAGGAGAATCCAGAGCAAAAAAAAAAAAACAACTTTTTTTCTACTATTTTATCCAAACTGAATTTTGACTACTTTTCCCTTTGGGAAACAGATTCTTATCTAAGAATGTTAAGACCTTTTAAGGACCTCATTCTCTAGGACAAGAACAGTAGTCTAATAGACAACATGTTTTCTAGGGTTCTGATTTCATAATAATCCTTATTGCTTAAATCCACAGACATTATTTAGTCTGAAGCCCTATCAGTCCTACCAAGGATTGCTGGCATGGCTAGGTAGAAAATGCAATGCCATGCAGAGCAAACCACTTTTCTTCTTCCAACACTATGGATACCAACAAGCTTTTATTTGAAAAAAAAAAAAAAATCTTTTTCTAGACTCTCCTCATTAATGTTTTCAAAATATTTCACTTGTGTTGAACAATGAACAGGAACAGCCACTATTTTAGGTTTTATGGATTGGCATAAGTTTAGCCTGTGATCTTTTCACTAGCAGAAAGAAAGATTAGAGTGAAAACACTGTAAACCAAGACCAAAAGAATTAAAATTCACGGGAATGAGCTGGAACAAAGAGTATTGTTCAGCCAGCATAACATTCTTCAAATACATCAGAGCAGACTTCAAAATTTTCATAAAATTTGGATCCTAGATCAATTTTATAAAATTTATTTTAGCATGGAAGAATAAACTGCAATAGCATTTTCAAGAGTGTAAAGAAGAGCTAAGTCAACAAGATTTCATTTTCA